CCATACATGCATCATCCTCCGCATGAAAAAGTTGCTCCAAGGACTCTTAAATTTTCCCTTTACCTTAAACCTATGCCCTCTAGGTTTGGACTCCCCTACCCTAGGGAAAGACCTTGGCTATTCGCCCCATCCGTGCCTCACATGATTTTATAAACTTTTAAGGTGACCCCTCAGCCTCTGACATTAGAGGGAAAATAGCCCAGCCTATTCAGCCTCGCCCTATAGCTCAAATCATCCAACCCCAGCAACATCCTCAAATCTTTTGAGCCTTTTAAGAGTTTCACAAGATCTTTCCTATAGCAGGGAGGCCAGAATTGAACACAGTATTGCAAAAGTGACCTGACCAATGTCCTGTATAGCTGCAACATGATACCCAACTCCTATACTCCATGCACTGACCAAAGGCAAGCATACCAAACGTCTTCTTCATTATCCTGTCTACCCAAGAGTCCACTTTCAAGGAACTATGAACCTGTACCCCGAAGGTCTCTTTGGTCAGAAACATTCCAAGAGCCTACCATTAAGTGTATACGCCCTCTCTTGATTTGCCTTACAAAAATGCAACCCCACACATTTACCTAAACTAAACTCCATCTATCAATCTCCACCCATCTGACCAAGCTATCTTTAGCTCTTCTCAATTCTGAAGAGTCATTGATGGGAAACATTAAATATTTGTCTCCACAGTCACTGCCTGACCTGTTGAGTTTTTCTAAGCTGGTTATTATTTCAGAGTTCCAGCATGTGGAGTATTTTTCTTTTGATCAAATCATCCCTTGCCTTCCAAATTGCTTGGAATATACTTCTCTCATTATTTAATACTTTAAGATCAGCTATTACACAGATTGCACAATTTCTCCCAGACAAATGCTTATACAATGTATAAAGTACTCCAGTAATTTTGTAGCTAGGGTAGAAATAGGACTTCCAACCTCTTATTATTCCAGTCCTCCAGATAAAAAGATCTAGCCTCATGGCTAATGGAATGCTATGTTGTTGGTGCTTCTCCTTGTTTGACACCACAGCAGTTTTGGTAGATTTCTTGAGCTTTATTGTTTTGCCAAACTGGACCAACTCATTTGCCTTCTTCCATGGAGCCTCAGATTCCTTGCACATTTCACAGCATTGTAATATTGAGGGAAGAAGCCATTGTAAACATCATGTTTACATCAATGCTGAACATTTCACTGCGCCTTCACTTCTGTTTCCCCTCCTCTTGCCCCCACACCACTCACAACCTTGTGTCCGAGATTACTTCTAAAATCTGTCTGCTGCTTGAACTGCAGTCTTCACAAGTGTTAGATTTTCATTTGATCGCAGTATAATCTCAATGCAAAAATAATGCAAGCACCTCATCATGACGCTGTGTAGTCCTGTAGCAGTTAATGAATTATCATGTATGCATAACTTCCCGCCAATTCGTAAAGGTCATTGATAAAAGGATTCCATAGATTTTTCTGGTCTAAACCTCAATTAGTTAAATTCAGTGCTCATTTTCAACTCATTTCCTCAATGATCAAGTTGTCACAGACACCAAAATATGTTTAAGAGTTTGCAAGATTTCATCTTACTGCAAAGAAATGTCAGCCATCCCTCATTGGCCAGCACATCACCTGCAATGGCTCCAATTACATAGAACGGAGTACTGACCTGGTCTTTCTTTATCATTTTCTTTAACTCAAGGGTTGTTTGAGACCATGGGTTATTCTACTTCTGAGCCAGCACAGGCCTTCTGCATTTAACAATGCCTCTGGAAGTGGTAACCATAATTCCATATTCCCCTGGAGCCCTGAAATCATGTCCATATGATGCTCTACATAGTTTTTAATTTCTGATTTGGCTCCCTATTATACATCAACTACTTGGTGAAAGGGGAAAGATTTAAGGAGGACCTGAGGGGCAACTTCTTCACGCAGAGAGAATGGTGCGTATATGGAATGGGCTGTTAGAGAAAATGGTTGAGGAAGGTACAATAGCAACATTTAAAAAAACATTTGGATAGGTACATGGGCGGGAAGGGCTTAGAGGGATATGGGCCAAAATGTGGGCAATGGGAACTAGTTGAGTGGACAAATGGACCAGTTTGGGCTAAAGGGCCTGTTTCCATGTTGTATTACACGGACTCTATGGTAAGTTTCAAATTCTTTTCCATTTTGTTTTCGTCAAAATACTTTGCTATGTTAATTTTTTATCCTGGTATTCAATATTTGCTGCCCAACTCTAACTTGAACCCATCTTTTCTGCCCTCAGCATGATCCATACATTACGAGCTCAATTGCCTAACTTCATAAACATTCATTCCAACAAGTACTTATTTTTTAAGAATAAACTTCTACATGAGTTTAGAGCATCTCCTTTACTCTCCAGACTCCCATCTGGAGACTTTACACTAATATATCATTCCAGACTCATGCCGTTCACCCATTTTTCCACAATGAGAGATTCTTACTGATGATTCAGTGTCAAAAAAATGAAAAGGACATACAATATAAATACCAACATTTGTACAGTCATTTGCACCGTTCTCGCTAAGCTATAAAATCAAGTGATTCATTAACTTTGTAGATTAGCACAATTCTAAGATGGATTGGCTGTCAATTGTTGCTCAAATTATCTGCAAGAACATGCATAAAACCTTCCTTGCTACATTGTGGGTCGTCAAAATGGTGCAGAACAATCAGTTAATTTAGTTCAATTCATAAAATTGTCCCTCCATCGCTTACACTAACTTAAACTATTATATGGCAAAGTAAGAAAACTGTTTCTTACAGTCAAATTTATAATGAAGCTTTTCACTTGCATAGTCAATACAAACTAAAATTATGGTAGGTATAAGCTGTGTGAATGTGCTGTGCTTCATCTGTTTAAAATGCACACAACTTATTCAGCCTACATTAGTCATCAGCCAATCTCATGATGTGCAATGTTGCACTAGTAATACAAACATGAATTGTTCTGGTATAATTTTCTGAATACGAAATAGGTCAGTCAGCTCTAGTGAGGTCTGCCATTTAAGATCTCAGATGACTTGCTTGCATATTCACAACTTCCATATTCACACCTACCCCACATAACTTTTGATTTCCTTGCTCACTACATAGATATCTAAAAATATCTTAGATACCTTAAAAATATGTAATGGCTCCATTTTCCCCATCATCTTAAACAGAGCTCCAAGGTCACAGCTTCATCTTAAAAAGGGTGACCCTAACCTATAAAACAATGCCCCTTTATTCTGGAATCACCCACAAGATTAAACATCCTTTCCACATCCCTCTTGTCAAGACCATTTATACTTGAACCTTAGAATGAGGGGTGACTCAATTCAACAGAAGTTCAGCCTGTCCAACCCATCTTCGTCAGATAATCCATTCATTCCAGGTATCTATTAATTTAGTATGCCCTTGTTTCCTGATTTGTACGCTGCTTTCCAGCATTAGCTGTTAGGGGGCCTAGAGATGATTGTCGTCCATGTCTTTTTAACCTTATTTCCTCCCTTTACCCAATTAGCTTCTACATCTTATACTTCTTCTATCCCATACTAACAAGGCCACACCATCACCCTTCCCTTCCTGTCCTTTTAAAAAGTCACCACGCCTCTGAAAATTTAGTTCAACTTTGATCTCCTTGTAATATGCCTGCGTAACAGCTACAAAGCTTATACACCAACTTCTGTTTTTCCCATTAGTTCATTCATTTTGTTCTAATACCATATGCATTTAAGAGCTACTAATTTTACATTTTGAACCAGAGTTTCCACCTTTGACTCTATTTCTATAGGTTTGTACATTGTATTGCAGGGCAACTACCTAGGCGATGATACCCAGAATGGGACAGCAAGAAACAGAGATCTTTTTGATCTCTAATGATATATACCTCTATCCAGATCTGTCTGCCAACCACCCTACCATCCATTAGTTTAAAGCTCTTGCTACAACCCTAGTTAGGTTTACCAGGACACCAGCCCCAGAATGCTTCAAATGAAGCTGGTCCTATTGGAACAGTTCCCTCCTACCCCAGTAATAATGCCACTACCCCATGAACTGAAACCCATTTCACTCATATCAATTTTTGAGCCACCAAATAAAGTCATTGACTTTAAAGTTAGTTATATCTTAACTGTTTAAATTCTTTCAGCAGAAGCTCCTGTCTAGTCGTATCAAGGTTTTAGTTCCCCATTTGCACTCTCTAGAGGACACTCACTGTAGAATCTCTTATTATCCATTTTCATATTTCTAGCTAGCTTGCTCTCATACTGCAAATTCTTCCACCTGATTAACTTTTTATTCATTCTCTGCCATTCTTTATGTTCCAACAAACCACCTGACTTACCATTCGTCATTGTGCAGTTAAGTGCTTTGGAGAATTTTAAGAATGTATGGCCTTAACTGTGGGACTATGACATTGTGCCTCTATCAATGGCAAGTGAACTTCAGGAGTTCAAAGCGGCAGCTCACCACCACCTTCAGGGACAAATAGGGATTGGCAATAAATACTGGCTCAGCCAGTGACACCCTACATTGAGCAAGTGAGCGTGCATGAAAAAAAATCTTCTAAGCTAGGTTCCAAATTCTGGACTGGATTGATGCAGAAACTACAGGTCCATCTTACAGAAACAACTGTCAGTGTCACTGACAGCTGAGAGAAGTGTGCAAAGCAGGGGCATCAGTATGGGTTCCAGGTAAAACAGGATGATAGATTTGGGTGAGGTGTTTACAGCAGGATGCATGCACTCCAAAGTGGCAACTTGGGGGTGGGAGGAGCAATTGGAATCACTTCCAGAGAAAACAATGGGCCACTTTTTGTCAAAAAGAATTGTCATAGAAACCTGAGAAAGGAAGTATTTTGCTCCAGGTCAATCTAACCACACACTAGTCAGTTTCACTGGTGGGAATTATTTTTGTTACTACTTGGTGCGTTTTTTTTTAAATTTAGACTTTAAAAAAACTGCTTCACAGAAAGCGGTCATATACAAAGTAAGACAAAAGTTGCAAACTTACGTAGGTTTACTCCATGCTCTTTTAAGCTCAGTCATATTGTGCTCTTTATCTGCAGTGGTTATCCCTATTTAAAATGAAAAAAATAAATAAAACTTGTATTTTACAGTAGGGAACTGAATAACAAGTTTCAGAATACCAACCTGTATCCTCTGCATCTATATGTGGCTTCAGTTCTGCTGTGTCAGGAGGTCTGATTTTCTGTTAAAAGATTTTTGAAAACTTATTTCAGTTCAGTTAGAACACCCATTTCTAAATTCAGAAAACAGCACAAATCTTTAAAAACAAACAAACCAAGAAAGCAATGTTATCCTGATTTGAGAGAAAAGTTTTTGCCAAGACTGAATTCACCAAAGGAGGACAAACTTCAAAATCAATGTTTCTCCTGAACCCAGACTAAAGCATGCAACGTCAATTAAGTAGCTGTGTAGACAATACCATTAATAACATTGAACAGAATAAGAGTGGGATCACTGAATATTTACATTTTTGGCTTGGTAAAAGTTCTTAAAACCACATGAATAACAGTCAAAATTCAAAAAAGAATAAGGAATTTATACTAAAACATTCCCTGCCACTGTAAAACAAGCAGCATTTAACAGAGGGAAATGTGAACATTTGCTCTGTCACAATTTTGGTCTGGGGTGGGGTATGGAGAAGTTTAGAGAAGGGGGTGGCATGGTGGCACAATGGTTAGCATTGCCTCCTCACAGCATCATGGATGAGAGTTAGATTCCAGCCCTGGGTTCAAGTCTGTGGGTTTCTGTTAGGTGCTTTGTTTCCTCCCACAGTTAAAAATGCACAGGTTAGGTGATTTGGCCATGGTAAACGTGGTGTTACAGGAATTGGGAGAGGGGGTGCTGGATCTGAATGGGACCTTCGGAGAGTCAGTGCAGATTCAAATGGCCTCGTTCCGCATTGTATGGATTCTATCACTATACAAAAGTAACAGTGGCATTCATGCATTTCCAAAAGGCACTTGACGAAGTGCCACATTGTAGGCTAACGAATCTGGAAGCCACAGAAATAAAGGATATTAGCATGATGAATAGGACATTGGTTGAGTGTTAGAAAGTAGAGTCATGGTGAATGATTGGTTTTCAGACAGGTGGGTTTCAGGTATATATGTTAGAACTTGGGACTATTGTTTTCCCATTTTCCTTTGTGCCAAGTTGGAACTTTTTAGTAAATTTAGTTGAGCTGGATTTCAACTTCTCTAAATGGCAACATAGGGTTAAGTAGTGGGCAAATTTCCTGAAATGCATTCACAAGAACTTTTTTAATCAAAATGTAAAGTGCTGGGTCTAAATCTGGGGAACAAAGCCAGACAGGCGTTCAAGATAGCAATGGGAAAGCATTTTAATGATTATGACCGCAAAACTATATGTTTCAAATTTGTTACAGAAAGGAAAAAGATGGTCTCAAAATAAAGCTTTTGATTGGAGGCTGGGGGAGGCAAATTTATTAAAACAAGGTACGATTGGCCAAAGACGACTGGGAACACTGATGTCTGTTTAAAAAAAAAAAAAAAAAGACAAGAACAGTTCAAAAGGGCCGAGAGTGGGGTGAGGTGCGGAATGTGCATGTTTGAAATGGAATTGGAGAGAATACAGGCCCAACATGTTCTATTTATTAAGAAATATGAATGTTTCATGTAACTTACAAGGCCAGAGAGCCCTCGATGTCTATGAATATTCAGAACTAGTTAAGGAGGAAGAGGGATTTATAAAAAAAGGTACAAAGGGAGCAAAACAGAGGTCATAGTAATGTACAGGAGAATGGGGCTGGTGGGTGTAGGGGACAAGAAGAAACATGGAGTAAGCTTACAGAGATTCCCAAGATATCCTACAAGTATATTAAAGGGGAAAAGAGGATAACTAAGGTAAGAGTGGGGCCCATTAGGGAGCAAAAGAGCAATCTGGGTGAAGACAGTGGACATTGGCAGGGTGCTAAACAAGTACTGCACATCTGTCTTCATTTTGAAGGCGGACTTATGAACAGAATTCAGGAAGAGGGACAGAGTTTCTCGAGTTTCTGACATTTGGATTCGGCAGAGTTTGAAGTGGGAAAAACTCAGGTCCAGATGTGCTGTTGGAGCTGCCCACAGCTGAAGGTAACAAAATAGCCAACTGTGGTTTCAGCTAACACAAGATGGAAGAGAATTGCTATTTGAACACAGCAGCCTCCTCAGTCAGAATCATGGCCGTCATACATGTGGCAACCAGATAAGGTTCAGACATCTTATTGAGGAACAGCGAAGGAATGTAGACAGAGACTGTTCTGCTAAGGGAAGCAGAGATGGAATTCTTTTAGCAAGCTAATTTAAAATTTGTTATTTAGTATGGACAGAAGGGGAGAAGCTGGACTCACATTAGTTAAGACCATTTTAGGTAATAAGTACACGTACATACATTCATACAATAGCTTTAGCATAGACATCAGAGAATTAGCCAGTCAGCTCTAGGCTCAGATGGTCTTGATAAGGAGCACCTTTGAAAAACCTAGATAAGCACCTTGTACGAACTAGTCCAAAGTTTGTTATTCAGTAAAGTATAGAAGGAAAAATCCGATTCCATCATAAAAACAGTTGCTACGACACAAAGTTATGTGTACGTCAAAATTATAAATGCAGTTAACAAACTAACATTAAGGAATTTAGCTGAATTCCTTTAAACAAATGGCTGTAGACAATAGACAGAAGCCCCCATACTGCCAGCAGGGGGGTGTTGAATGACAAATGGCCTAAACACAAAAGGACCAGATGACATAAACAGTATAAACAGATAACCTTGTAAAAGAGCATAGAGAAAGGTAGCCTTGCAAGAGAGAGCAAAAACAATTGTAAAATATTACACGGCAATTATGACCTCTGTAAAAAAGAAACAAACACAGTCATAGCTTGTGAAAAATAGCACCACTCAGTATGCTGAAGCTAGCAAATGTCCAGGAAGAGCATGACAGTCAGAGAGGATGTGGCAAGCCCTGACCCCAATGTTGCATGTAATCACTGTAACAGAGAGGGTATGGAAAATATGTGGCACTTTATTGGGAGAGTTTGAGTGCCGTAGGGTCTGTCTCCAGAGACCTCTTCCACACAGTGTTGCAAAGGACCTTCAAATAAAGATCAGTTTGTGCTGTTAACCCCAGGGCTCAACACTCCTATTTGAAATGTTTCCCCAACAGATTAGTGGTAGAAGGCTGCTTGTAACTGGGGGGCAATATACTAAGGGGATCAGTAGTGATCATAGAATTCCTACAATGTAGAAACAGGCCCTTCGGCCCAATGAGTCCACACTGACCCAGACCCATCCCCTATATCCACCTAATCTAGGCATCCCTGAACACTATGGGCAACTTAGCATGTCCAGTCCACCTAGCCGGCACATCTTTGGACTGTGGGAGGAAACAGGAGCACCTGGAGGAAACCCACGCAGACATGGGGAGAATGTGCAAATTCCACACAGACGAGGGTGGAATTGAACCCGGGTCCCTGGAGCTGTGAGGCAGCAGTACTAACCACTGAGCCACCGTGCCACCCTTCCACATCAATCCAGAAGCCTGCCACTGTAATGAACCCAGTCCATTATTGTTTACAAATATCACAAACTATATACAGAAAATGTGGGATGAAAGGGCAGGCACAAGAGAGCAACAGTGTAATTGGCTGGGTGGTTGTCAGTGATGAAGAAGGTCTTATGATACATGAAGATATAAATGGATTGGTGAGATGGACAGATCAGTAGATGATGAAGTTTATCCCTCAAAACTGAGGTTCTGCACTTTGGAAGAAGTAACAATATATGGGGCCACTCAATGAACAGCAGGACACTAGAAAGCAGAAGAACAGAGGGATCTTGGGATACTTGTCCAGTGGATCCGTGAAGGTGGCAATAAAAGCAGGAGGTTATGTTGGAACTGTATAGGGGTTTGGTTCAGCCACAGATGGAGTCCTGTATGCAGTTCTGGTCACTGTACTGTAAGAAGCGAAAGCAGCTACTCCCTTTAATAGAATTATGGCTTCTTGTTATTCAAAGTTGAAAAGCAGGTGGTGTAGAGGGAATTTGAAGATTTTATTTTTTAAAACCAGGAGTGTGTTGGGGGATCTGGAATATGCTGCCTGGGAGGGAGGTTGAGGCAGGAAACCTCAACCTTCAAATAAAAATAGTTTGATGAGCACTGAGATGTCATAACATTCAAGGTTAAGTGCTGGAAAGTAGGAGTAACTGTAGATCAAGAGCAGGCTCGATGGGTCAAAAGCCTCTCCTATACTGCAGAGTTCTGTGAAACAAGGACA